GAGCTTGTGACCACATTGGAGATCAGATTCACTCTGGAAATAAAAAGAAAAGTGCATGAGGAGAGAATATTAAAATGCAGCATGAAGCTCATGACATTTTTGAGAGGGTAAGATTCCCATCCTAAGATGATATTTCCTGCAGTTGCCATTGGAATGACCACATGGAAGGAGACATTCTCCCCTCATCGGAAGCTGCCTGCTATTTTGAATATCCTGGTGTGGCATTGTAGGATAATCAGTTGTGGCGCCTTAGGATAAGCACTGGACTAAAATGTCAATGTGAACCACAGGGTCGGTGGCTCAGGCTCACCAGCTGCTCCTCGTAAATCCTGTACAGCGTCACTGTGAGTCGGAACTGACTTGATGGCACTTAACAACAAAAACAACAACAACACTAACCACATGGTGGATGGTTCAAACTCACTAGCTGCTCCTTAGAAAACCTATTCAGGGTTGCTATGAGTCAGAATGGACTGGCGCCACTTAACAACAACACAACAAAACCCAACAGGTTAAAATAATCAGGGTGGGAAAAGCTATGAGTATGTCTACATGGTTCCCAGCTTGCTCCTACAGCCTTCAATAACTGTGACCCTCTTGTCCTTGGTTTTCCCTAGACCAATGGTTCTGAGCTGCAGGTGATTTTGTCCTGAAGGAGACATTTTGCAATATCTGGAGACATTGTTTCTTTGTCATATCTGGGTTGGATCTATTAGGCAGAGACCAGAGATGCTGCTAAACAATCTACAATGTACCGGACAGACTCCTGCAACAAATTATCTGGCCCAAATGGTCAGTAATATCACAGTTGAGGAATGCTGGTCTAGAACTTGATACATTGGCGGTGAGAGTTAGTTGGGGCTGCCTTTTAATGAGGCTCTCTTCAGCCATTGGTTTCAGTTATCTTTCTACCCAGGAAAGTATGAGCACAAAGAACCAACCAGCTGCTGTTGTTGGTAGCTGCCATCAAGTGAGTGGGTGACCGTATATATAAGCAAATGAAATGTGGCCCAGTCCTGTGCCATCTTCCTGACCGTTGGTATGTTTGAGACTCTTTTTGAGGCCATTGTGCCAATCCAAACCATTGAGAGTTCTCCTCATTTTAGCTGACCCTCTCTTTTACCAAACATGACATCCTTTTCTAGCTATTGGGCTTTCCTGATGACATGTCCAAAGTAAAGGAGCCGAAGTCTTGCCACCCTCGCTTCTAAGGAGTATTTTGGTTGTATTTCTTCTGGGGTTGATTAGTTCATTCTTCCGACAATCCATGATATAGTCAATATTTTTCACCAACCCCACAGTTCAAACGTATCAGTTCTTCCTTTCTTCTTTGTTCCTTGTCCAACCTTTGCATGGGTTCTGTTTGGTGTAGTGGGTTACATGTTGGGCTGCTAACTGTAAGGTCAGCAGTTTGAATCCACCAACTGCTTCATGGGAGAAAGGTGAAGTTTTCAGCGCCCATAAAGATTTACTGCCTCGGAAATCTTATACACGGTTGCTAGGAGTCAGAACCAACTACCACCACCACCAGTATGTACTGAAGGTGCCCCGGTGATAATGTGGGCAAGACCTTAGGCTAACCACAAAGTTAGCGGCTCAAACCCACCAACTTCTCAATGGTAGAAAGAGAAGGCTGTGTGCTCTGGTAAAGATTTATAGTCTTTATAACCTTATATATAGTTGGTATGAGTTGGAATCAATTCAGTGACAGTAGTTATAGTATTCAGTGAGTGCTTGAATTATTTCATTTAAAATTCACAGTGAGTCGCGTAGTGGTTACTAATCGGGCTGCGAACCTTAAGGTCAGCGGTTCAAAACTACCAGCCGCTTCGCGGGAGAAAGATGAGGCTTTCTACTCCCGTAAGGATTTACACCCTCAGAAACCCTGTACAGGGTCGCAATGGGTCGGAACCGACTCGACGGCACTTAACAATAACAACAACCACTGATTTATATACTCCTTGAGAGCAGGTTTTGTATATAGTTCTTTCATGACTATATAGTTTATGTCTAAGTATATTTGGTGTGGCACTGTGGGTTAATGCGCCAGACTGCAAGGTCAGCTGTTCAAGCTTACCTGTTGCTCCTCAGAAACTCTACACAGGGTCTCTATGAGTCGGAACCCACTGCATGGCCCTTAACAACAACAACAATAAAGGATAGCTTGTGGCACTGTAAGATAAACACTCATCTGTTAACCACAGGGTCGGCATTTCAAATGCACCAACCAGATTTACAGATGCAGAAACCTAGTCACTGTGAGTTGGAATCGACTGGAGAGCAGTGAGAATACTTTATGTCTAGCACCGTATTTGACACACGGCAGGCCCTCAATACCTTAAATGGAGTCATTATATCCATTTTATACGAGTAAAATGAGGCTTAAAAATCCACATAGTACATGTTGAACTAATTAATGTCAGAGAATTGTACACATGAAGAGTACTGAAATGGCAAATGTTTTGTTAGATATCTATTTACCCTGGGTAATAAAAAACATCCACACAGCTGGTGTAAGTAGTATAGTCAGGATTTGAACGGAGCCCTGTGTGTAACTCCTGCCCTCTATCACTTACCCACTACCGGAGGTTTTCTGGTCTGTAAAAATATTAGTGACTCAGGGAACGAAAATGAATTAAAAAAAATAAATTACCTATCTATGTGGAAGGAAAGGAGCTCTGGTAGCGTAGTGATTATGAGTTGGGCTGCTAATCTCACGGTCAGCAGTTCAAAATTACCAGCGCTTCCACACGGGAGAAAGATGAGGCTTTCTGCTCCCATAAAGATTTACAGCCTTGGAAATCCTATACAGGGTCGCTTTGAGTCGGAACCTACTCCACGGCACACCACCACCACCACCACTACCACCATGTGGAAGGAGTCCCTGGGTGGTTAATGCGCTGGGCTAATTGAAAAGTTGAAGGGTTAAGTCCAACCAGAGGTGCCTTGAAAGAAAGGCTTGGCAATCTACTTCTTAAAAATCAGTCACTGAAAACTCTATTATTATAACAAAGAAAGGCTTGGCAATCTACTTCTGAAAAATCAGTCACTGAGAACTCTATTATTATAACAAAGAAAGGCTTGGCAATCTACTTCTGAAAAATCAGTCACTGAAAACTCTAACAAACAGAACAGCCACGAGTTGGAATCAATTCAATGGCAGCTTTGTGCGTGTTTAGGTTTTCCAGTTGTTTCTGTGTCTGCTATCCGTGCAGGTGTTCTTCTATTCATTTTGCAGGTGAGGAAATTGAGGGACAGAAGTTACAGGAGCAAGTTGTAGTACAGGACTAGAACATTAGACTTGCGGCTCAGGACTCCTCCTGCTCCTAGGCACCTTGGGGAAGTGAGGTCCGTAGAGAAACGGGATTCCTCGGGAGGGGACTCACAATGCTTTCAAACCCTTCTCTCCCAGAAGAAAAGCCTGGTATGTAACTTTTTTTTTTAGTCTTGGGACTCTGGAGAGGGAAAACTAAGTCGAACGGGACTACATCTCCCAGCGGGCATTGAGGAATCCTGTAGGACGTAGTCGTACTGTGGCGGTGTGCGTACTACGATTCCCGGCGTGCAGTGGGTGAGGGCGGGACTACATTTCCCAGGGGGCCGAAGAAGGGGCGGGAGGGGG